CTACTGCCTTATTCAGGACTCGGGATTGAACCCTCAGCCTCACACACACTGGGTTAGAGCTCAAGCATGGAATCCCCAACCGTTTCATTAGTTTGAGGACTTGCTAAGTTGCCCAGGCTGGCCTTGCACTCAGGATTTTCTTGCCTCAGCTACTACAGTAGCTAGGATTAAAAGTCCATGCCACTGTCTTTCCTTTCATTGCTGAGGCAAAATACCTGATACCTAAAGCTAAAGGGTGAAGGGTTTATTTAATTAATGGTTTATAGAGAGAGAGGTCTCAGTCCATAATTGGCTGGCTCCCAGCAGGCCAGGGTGGCAGATGGGCATCACAGAGGAGAACAGTTCATGGTAGGCAGAAGCTAGCAAAAGCACGCAAGAGACCTTAACAGTGTCTTTCTGCCCCTTTTGTGTCATTCTGGGTACTCAGGGTGGGTAGCACTTACCCCCTTAACCCTAGTGCCTTTGACCTTAGCATTACACCATGAATCAATTCCAGTGTCACACACTAGATCCTGCCACTTCTGGAAAAACAAACAAACAAACAAAAAAACAACACCTCACCCACGACCTCATAAGCCTTTGAGGGGACATCTAGACACAAGGTATAATAGCCATCAAGGGAGTTTCTGTATGCCACACAGTGAGTGGTTGGTTTATTCCTGATTTTCCTAGATTCACCCAGTCCAAACCTATTTCTCTGAAAGTAATAATTTCCTATAGTACAATCTCTACAGAGATGGGCAAGAAAACAGTCATCTGAAATAACTTCAGGAGATATTTAGGACATAGAAAACTTACAAAGATATTTTCTTTCTTTTTTTCCCTATGTATTTAGTACAGGGTTTATAGGGTCTCACTACACAGATTTGACCAGTAGTGATCCTCCTGTTTTCAGCCTCCCAAGTGCTGGGATTACAGGTGTGCACCACTATGCCATCTGAATCGCTGTCTCAGTGCGCCCCAGGGGTGGGACCAGCACTGCACACCGGGGATCGAATCTGGTCCCTGTGCTTGCCTAAGCAGGTGCTTTAGTCCGCTGAGCTATCTGGTCGGACCTTCAGAGATATTTTCTTGTAGAATACTTTTTTTTTTTTTTTGTATGACCCATGTAATGCCTTTTGCAGAATGTCTTGGGAAAACTGTCTAGATTTAAAAGTACAGTATTTATTACTAAGATAAATGAAATAAAAGGAAAGCCTTCAGAACCCTGGATGAATGAAGCAGTTTAAATTAAAACCAAATGTATTTTTTGTATGTTATTATATCCTGTTCTTTATTTAGAAAGCACTAGATAAACAGATGAAAATAGAGAAGAAGGCTTAGAAATTAAAACCATTGGTTTGGGTCTCTTCTTGAAAGGTCAGTTTGTGGAAGATGAGAAAAACGCTGTAGCGACAGAATAATCACACAAAAGACATTTTAGCAGTGAGCCTACAGAGTGCACATCAACTACTTGTATCACCCACATCAAGTTGCTGGTCCTTTCACTTATCAAAGAAACTAAGACATTTTTTGGTAAACATTTTTTGGCTGTAGTAGCAACACAGTTTCAGAATTGGAGATTAGAAATTATAATGAAAGCTACTTTATGATGCTCCCTAATTATTCTGCATAGTTAAGTCTCCTTGACGCTTTATGTAATTCTCCCTTTGTTATAAGCTTCTGTTTCTTCTTAAGGCATGCTGAATCCAGACAGGTAATGAAATGAGTACCCCCAAACCAGTGTATTGCAATATCTGTTCAGCCAACAATATATTTGAACTTAAAATTATTTATTTATTTATTTTTCCTGTGCAGGAATCCAGGCCTTTTGCAGGTTTCAGCTTTACCACCTAGGTAGGGACATCCCTTGAATAGAGGAAAAAGTAAAGAAAAAAATCTAAAAAGGCTACATCAGAAATTTTTAGAAACACACAACACTGTAAGAGAGCTGCGTTCACCAATACCCGACATCCACCTGACGTTGCCGGCAGCCTGGTCAGGTATCTGCCAACCCAGGTGATGCTTTCATTCACCACTAGAGAGAAGTAGAGGGACCTGATGTCGAGACACAGCAAAATCCATTTCCCCTTTTACTCCTACTCTCCTATTCCGGTGCTCGAGGGTGGTAGAGCACATCCTCTCTCCGTTCCAGGATAATTGTGCCAGGGGAATCAAAGAGGATCCTCTCCAAGCTAAGAGCTCGCAAAACAGGAATGCACCTCCTTTCATTTTCTCCCAGGGAAGCAGATTCAGAACAGCTTAGATGCTGTGAGACTTGCAGGGTCGGCTCCAGGGGAGGGGCAGAACAGGCAAGGCTAGTAACAAAGACTCTGGGGACAGACAGGCAACCTGAGAGAAACACCAGTGTGGGACCTTTTACCCTCCCGAGTCTACTTCCTTGATCTATCTTTATTTTCATTTCCCCTTTCCCCAAGAGCAGTAGTAGATAACTGAGCACAGCACTGGTTTTTACCGAGTAATCTAGTAGAACACCTACACATCCGGACTCTTTATCCTTGGTAATTTGTAAAATAAAGAAATCTAATCACACTAGGCTGTGTGGACAGGATTTGCATACTTAGAAACCAAATGGGGGCCTTTCTCCTACTCCTTCCAGAATACGCTCCATTTCCTTTTGCACTTAAGGTCCCGCCTCCTTCCAGAGTCACACACAAAAACAGCCTCCAATAAATACCAATACTGAAGCTTCAGCAGGTTGCTACCTCCTGCAGAGCTATCTTAAAGGTGCTGTATATAAATGCTAGGTTTAAGTAGCCTCAGAGATCTCTAAGAACACTGTGAATATACCTGGTTTAATTAGTAGTCCAGGAGTTAGGTAATGGCTTGTGGCTTTCTGAGCTAGTCCTCTTGAGGTTTCTAGTCTTCAGAGACTGCCTGCAACTGTGATGTGCACACACACGATTTTCTTTCTCAAACGCTTCATGAATCCTCTTTAAACCTTCGTAGGAACCTACTGGCAATTATTACAACATGCATGCTAGTTCATTCCCATTTCCCCAAATTTCTAAAATGACCCAATGCTCAAGCCTCAAGGCAGATCCTTATGGAATAAAATTGTTTTCTTGAGTTCTACTTCCCCAGGGAAAGAATTAAAAAGGAAGAACTTCCTAGGTTGGTGTTGATTGATGCCAGTTCTCCCCGGGCAGAAGGTGGATACTTGCTTTGTAGCAGGGTGATGGGGGAAGGGAAATGGGTTCTACTTTTCTGCACTACTGGACTAGCTGTCTTTCGGCGATAGGTCAACCAGTGTGGGCTGTAAGGAGTCTTGACAGGTTTGTTCTGGGCTGATGCCACTGACTAGGTTCTCGAACCGGAAAAGCTGACTCTACAGTAGGTGTGGCGCGTTCATCACCAGTTCAGGGGTAGTGACTGGAAGTTTGTTGCAACTTGGCAAACCCAAGCAGCGGGTTGCACAGAGATAACCTTTTTGCTTCAAGAGCACAGAATCGGAAAGGTTCTCCTTAATCGGAGATGCATGATACCTCCCCACCCCCACCCCTTCTCCCACGGTTGGAAACACACCGTGTTGGCAGATCCTGGGCGAGGAGCTCCAGGTATCAGTCCCTGCGCTTGCTCTGTGGGTGACGCTCGCACCACGGTCTGCAAGGCCAGGCGGCGGCCAGCGGAGCCGGAGGCGGGGGCACGTGCTTGGATGTGTTGCTTGTGTAACCAGGTTCCCAGGCGCTCGCCAGACGGCGCTCCCGCGGGAAGCTCGTTCGCGCCCCCTCCCCATGCCGCTGCGGCCCGTGGGGGTCGGACTGGTTCCCACTGCCTTCCCGCGGCGGGAGGACCCAAGGCAAACGGGGCGAAGCACTTGCCACTGCAGCTAAGGCAGGGCAGTGGGAATTTGGAAAGTTCCCTAACTAGGCGCACACGTGACCTCCTCCTGAAAGTAGTTCCGACGGTGGCTCTGGTATCCTTCCACCTCCCTTTGAACCCTCCTCGGCCCCCCTCGCTCCGCCCACTCGCCCGGCTGCAGCTTCCTACGGTTCCGTACTTCACGCTCCGCCTCTGCTGGCACTGTCCAGCGGGGGGCGCGCGGAGCCTGGCCCCGGGCGATCCGTCCTGCCTGGTTTTCTCCGCGGCCGAAAAGGGGCGGGGCAAGGGAGCCTCGGAGGGCAGAGCTTGTGTTCGCCGCGGTGCTGCGACCGGGCGCCGAACGGCGATGCTCGGCTCTCCAGGGGGCAGAGGGATGGGGGGCGTCCTCCACGCGCGGGGATTCACCTTGAGCCCACCTGCACAGGTGTCCTCTGCCCTGGGAACCCAGGGAGATGTCTCTGTCCACCCTGCGTGGTCGACCGACAGCTTTCATTTTGGGGGCAAATGAACAGCGTTCCCTGGGAAGCGAGAGGTGGGGCAGCGAAAGGGAACCGGATGAGGCGAAAAGCGCAGGAGACACAATGGGGGTTTGTTCTTTGTGTTAAGACTGACACCTTGAGGATACGGTGGGGATCTCTAGGTAAAAGCCGCTCCTGCCAAATTCCCGCACACTGCAGGGATCCGAGAGCAGCGCCTAAGGACAGAGCCAGGAGGCAGGCCAGACGCGCGCGATCCGGAGGCGAGGGCGGGGGAGGGGTGTCCTCGCCGCCTGCACGGTCGCTGCAGTCCGCTAGCGGTACACACAGCGGCCAGCGCGGTCGCCTGGCGCTTTCCACCTGCGTGCACAGGTAATGTCAACATGAGATCAAAGACACTGCCCTACCGCCACCATCTCCCCGACACAGGCTGCCCTGCCTCTGGCTGTCGTCATTCCCGCCTCACGCTGCTGCAGCACTAGCAGCCGCTACCAGCGCCAGTGCAGCTCAGAGCCGGCGCCCAGGAGCGAGCCCCGGCGGTCACACCGGGCATGCTCAGTAGCGTCGGCGCGCGGGGGCTGGGGCAGGGGGTGTTCGCGCTCGCCTCGGCGCAGCCGCTCCCGCCCCCTCCCAACCCTCCCCCGGCGCGGCCGTCCCGCCCCTCGCTCGCCTGCCCGCCTCTCCGCCTCCCCTCGGGCTCTCGAGGCGCCCCGGCTCCCGGCGCGGCGGCGGCGGCGGACGGTGATGTGGCGGGACTCTTTGTGCACTGCGGCAGGATACGCGTTCGGCGCCGGGACGCGGCTGCGCTCAGTGCTCTCCTCTCGGAAGCTGCAGCCATGATGGAAGTTTGAGAGTTGAACCGCTGTGAGGCCAGGCCCGGCTTAGGCGAGGGAGATGAGAGACGGCGGCGGCCGCGGCCCAGAGCCCCTCTCAGCGCCTGTGAGCAGCCGCGGGGGCAGCGCCCTCGGGGAGCCGGCCGGCCTGCGGCGGCGGCAGCGGCGGCGGTTCTCGCCTGCTCTGGGGCTCCTCTTCTAACCGCGCCGCTCCGTCTCGGCTTCTGCGGAGAGGAACGGTGGAAGCCGCGGGCTCGGGCGGGAGCCGGCGGAGGCTCGGCGGCGGCGCCTCCCGCTCCTGGAGCGGGGGGGAGAAGCGGCGGCGGGGAGGGGGCCAGAGTCGCCTGTCACCATTTCCAGGGCTGGGGACACCGGAGAGTTGGTCTCTCCCCTTCTCCTGCCTCCAACACGGCGGCGGCGGCGGCGGTACCTCCAGGGACCCGGGCCGGCTCTAAGCCTCCCCTCCGCCGCCGCCGCACCCGCCCCGGCCCGGGCTCCGGAGGCCGCCGCAGGAGGCAGCCGCTCCGAGGGTTGTTCGTGGGCTCTCCATCCCGCTGCCGCCGCTGCCAGGCCGCTGGCTGCTGAGGAGAAGCAGGCCCAGTCGCTGCAACCATCGAGCAGCCGCCGCAGCAGCCATTACCCGGCCGCGGTCCAGAACCAAGCGGCGGCAGAGCGAGGGGCATCGGCGACCAAGTCCAGAGCCATCTCCATCCTGCAGAAGAAGCCCCGCCACCAGCAGCTTCTGCCATCTCTCTCCTCCTTTTTCTTCAGCCACAGGCTCCCAGACATGACAGCCATCATCAAAGAGATCGTTAGCAGAAACAAAAGGAGATATCAAGAGGATGGATTCGACTTAGACTTGACCTGTATCCATTTCGAGGGCTGCTCCTCCTTGCTTTTCTGTCCATCTCTTGAGTAGACGGATGCGGAAAATTTCCGTAACCCTGTTCACATTTCTCGCTCAGATATTATTGCCTCTTTTCGGTATATTCAACGTAGGGTGTGTTTCGCTAGACGGAACTCAAGCCTGTTTGCAAGTGTCAGTGCACAGATTGGTTTCTTAGTCTGTCTCTGTGGTCTTCCTGAGGGCTATTGTCCGTTAATACAGAATACAGTACACTGATAGTGGATTAGTGAGCTTGATAATCCGGTCTAATAAATGAACAAAAAAGACGCTTTGAGGTTGAGCATACTTCGATTAAATCTTGGCTTAGGCCCTAGATCAAGGGTATAGATCAGATTAAAATGAAAATTAATGTTGCACGTACGCATATTGCATCAGAATCTTGCAGTGATTGTGTTTAGTTTCCTGGGTTGCATTGATAGATTCTTCTAAAATGTGAGTTGTAGACTGATTTGCATAACTTTAAAAGCAAAATCCTTTTCAGCCTATGTGGTGCGCGTTTGTGGACAAAGGTAGGTTTGTGTGTTTAAACTAAGTTATAACTTTGAATTGCATTTAGAAGTTTTGTAGTTTGAAATCCATAGTGTCATGGTGTACCTTATAAGGAACTCATATTAGGTCTTTGTTAAATTGATCTTTTTCTTTTCTCACAAAGTAATGAAGGATAGGGTATGAAATTTGCTTTTCAGTAGCATTTTATTTTCAGTGGCCTTGTCATACATAACAGAATAGAGAATGAGGGGTTTTTGATCCGGATGATAATGTCCTGTAAGTTCAAGGGTATTGTGTGCAGCAAATGATGATTACAGAGATTAAACTTGCACTTTGGTTTGAAATTTGAATATCCTGAACCAAAATTACTACTCTCACCCTGTTATAGGTGTTCTGACACCTTTTAGGTATCCGTTAATTTTACTCTGATCTGTGTAGTGTCAGGTATATTTACCAGCTTATATTTAGAAAGGCTGGCAAGAATGGATTCTCCAGCTTCAGATGTAGTAGTCATGTTAGATTTTTGAATACAGTGTGTTAAATTCACTGAGTCAGCTATGTTGAATAAGACAGAAACCTAAGAATTTTAACGGTATATAGTTTTGTTTAAAAGTTAGGCTTTTTACTTCAAAAAGTTAGTCGTTATTAAAAACCATTAGTTGGGACCTGGGGAGATAGCTCAGGAGAGTAAGCATTTGCCTGACAAGTGCAGGGTCCTGAGTTCAATTCCTGGTACCACAAAACACACACACACACACACACACCCCATTAATCTTTGCAGTTTCAGCTAAAAACAAACAAAAAAACTGGTTTTGATGAGGGATGGTGATAGATCACTCCTTTTTGCAGAATGGAAAGTATTGACAGGAATTGAGAGGTATTGGTAGGCCAGTAAGTGTATGAAAGTCAGTTGGTGGTCTGAAGTAGCTGAAGCATTTAAGATGCACCAGGGCTTCCTTTAAGACTCCAAGTTGGTGCTGTGGGTTGTAGCAGTGGACAATATTTAGTTATGTAATTGTGTGTTACTAGTTGTGGGTTTTTTTGGTGGGGGGGCAGTTTGCATTTGAATTCAGGTCCTTGGGTAGGCTGGGTTAATGCAGTACACTGAACTACACCAGTATAGGGTATTCGTTACTTCTTGGCAAATATCAGTAAATGTTCTGTTTAAATGTGTCTGTTTAGAATGACACTAAAGTTTATCTCCTGCTGATGTGGGGAGCATTTCTGTGTTTTTTTAAAGAAAAATGTTTTGTTTTGGAAGAGACGTTATTTGGGATATTACTAATTACATACAAACATGCACAGCTAGTTTTTTCCGTTTTGTTTTGAAATGAAGATGAAATTATTGGAGAAGTAGCTTCATAAGATGTTCTCTGTTAAAATTAATATTTTAAATGGAATACATTATTTGGAAATTTTGTAGTCTGCATTAATTGAAGAGATTTTCTACATGCTGAACTTGACCGCTTTGCCCAAAACATAATTGGGGAAGAATTCTGATTTATGACAACTTCAAAAGGAGCCTATTACAAACATTTAGATACATCAGAATAAATTAGATTTCTATATAACTTGTTTTAAAATCCCCATAGAAAGAAATTACTAGAATGCTGTCTGGTATATTTTAGCTGTCAGAGTGTGATTATGCTTTTATTTTTTCCTATTTAAAAATGTGAGGTTTGTATGACTTTAATATTGTTCTGCCAGCTCTTTACATGTGAGCAGTGAAATGATTAGTAGTTTCTCCTTTGATTTCATACTGTGTGGCCTCTGCCTATGAAATTGGTATGACTTAAAACTCTCTCTAAAACTGTACTTTTAGTTATGATATGCATAGAAAGCAGTATCAACTACTGCCTCAAATGACTAAGTACACTTAATTTCTAGAGTTGTGGTTTTATTGAGCCAAATAGTGTTATGAAAAATGTCAGTGAAGACCTTGCTCTTTTGATAGTTTTATTCCCAAAAATTTTGATTTGCTTGGTTTCACTTCACTGTTTTCCTTGGGTTGGGGGACGGACATGGAAAACAGTCTTCAATGGTTATTGAAGACTGTCTTGGCAGGTTGTAGTGTCTCGTCAGCCACTATAGCCTGGTAAAAGTTAAATTCCTTATGAAAATATGAATGGAATATTTTTATCTGCTAAGGAAGTGATTTTTCAGAGGAAAGCTGTGGATGATGATTCAGTTTTAAAATACTTTGCAAAAGTGAATTAGTCTAAGAATTTAGTGTAGTTTTAGTAATGTTAGTCTGGAAAGGACTGCTGAATATGAGACTAAAAAATATAGTGTTTAGAGTCTGTGGAAACTTTAGGCCTTTTTTTTTTTTTCCATTTAGCAGTTTTATTATTTGGTAGATTTGCCTGTTTTCAGACTTGGGGGTTGATTGGGATTTTTTTTTTTTTTTTTTGCGTGGTACCATGGATTGAACTCAGGATGTTGTGCTTGTCCTGAGTACCCTCGGTGAAAGCATTGATTTTACTGAGCTATCTGCCCAGCCCTATTGGGAATATTTTTAACTTGTAAAAGTAGAGTGACCATTAAAGTTAGCTATATTTTTGGGCTGTGATTATTGAAATTAATTGTAAGATTTTAAAAAAAGCTATGCACAATCACATTTATGTTGACTATATTATATCTTTTCAAAAACATGACTGGGGCCCCGGGGAGATAGCTCAGTAGAATATGCGCTTGCCTTGCAAGCACAGGGTCCTGAGTTCAATCCCCAGTACTGCAGAAACAAAACAAAACATGACTGGATTACCTGATTGCTATAAAATAATTTACAGAGGTTTTTATTTTTTATTTTTTTAAGACAGAGTCGCACTAGATAGTTCAGGCTTGCCTTAAACTCACTTTGTAGCCAAGGATGGGCTCAAACTTGCGGCAATCCTGCCTCAGCCTCAGAATGCTAAGATTACAGGCTTGTGCCACCTTTTCTTTTCTTTTCTTTTCTTTTCTTTTCTTTTCTTTTCTTTTTTTTTTGGTGGAACCAGGGATTGAACTCAGGCCCTTGTGCTTGCCAGGGAAGCACTTATTCCACTGAGCCATCTCCCTGGCCCTCCGCGTTTTCAAATTTTATTTTATAAAGTTTCTTCAAGAGCAAAGTTCAATGGCAAGGAGAAATGTACAGTTTGATGACTGTTAATATAAACACAAATTTTTTAATTGTATGCATCAGTACATAATGCAAGTTTTACTCATACTGTATTAAATACTAAATAAATTGGATGAAATATAGCCACTTTAATTTTAATTTTTTTTTTTATTTTTATTTTTTATTTGTGTGTGTGTGTGTGTGTGTGTGTGTGTGGCCAGCTCAGCCCC